GGGAGACTCTGGAGACATTCTTTCCCCACAATCCCTCTAACAGTAAAAAGAGAGAAACTCTGCTCTTAAAACCTGAACTGAAACTCCTACTGTGTTCCTCACTCCCATTCACAGTAGATGAGAGAAACTGGTACGGAGTTAATGCACACATAGGGAAGGGCACGCACACACAGCTACAGAAACATACTCCATAGAAGTAGGAAGAAGTGAGTATATTACCAGATGACTACAAATCAAAGCAGAGCTTCAACAAATAGGAGAAAATCACAGAAATGTCAAAAAAAAGAATTAAGAATATTCGTGATATCAACACTTAGTGTGATGCAATTCATTGCATCTCATTGAGAAACTCAATGAGAAGTATAAAATGCAAAACACAATGAGACAATGAAGTCTAGGAGATGAAAATGCAAAACTCAATGAGACAATCAATTGTAGGAGATGAAAATATTCTTCCATGACTTGAAGGAGGAACTCCATAAGGAAACAGACACCTTCAAAAAGAATCAAACAGAACTTCTAGAGATAAAGAATATGATGCAGAAAATCAAAACTTCCCTTGAAAGTATCAAGAGCAGATTAGACCATGCAGAACAACCTCTGATCCTGAAGGCAAAACCTTTGATTTAGTCCAAGCAACCACAAAGAATAGAAGAATAATCATTAAAAATGAGGACAATATACAGAAAATCCTAGACATCATTAAATGAACAAATAGCCACATAATAAGTATTCTGGAAGGCAAAGAGACAGGTAAAGGCATAGAAAATATCTTTCATGATACAGTAACTGAAAACTTTCCAGTTTTAGAGCGGCATGAAACCATCCAAATCCTGGAAATACAAAGGAAACTAAATAGATATAAAATAATATCCTCTCCAGGACACGTAATGGCCAAATTGGTAAAAAACAAAGACAAAGACAATATTTTTTAAAATGGCAAGAGAGAAACACCAAGTTACTTACTTCCAACCCATTAGACTAACATCCAACCTCTCAACTGAAACAATAGAGGCAAGAAAAGAATGGGGAGACACATTTAAAATTCTGGAATTAAAAACAATTTCAGCTGAGAGTATTAAACCTAGTAAAATTATTCTTTTTTTTTTTTTTGGAGAGGTTTTTTTTTTTTCCCCCGCTATAGGGTGCATGCGTTTGCCAGAGAGAAACAGAGAGACAGAAAGCGAGAAACCACCCCCAGGGGGGATGGTCACACCACAATCCCTTCTCCTCCATTCTCCTCTCGGGATCTTGGGCACGCATGCACACGCGCCCGGCGTGAGTTTTAAGCCACCGGGTCCGGGACGCGAACCGCGATCGACTATGTGGGGGTCCAGCGACATAGCCATTACGCTAACTGCTGGTTCCCACAAAATTATTCTTCATATAAACAAATGCTGAAAAAATTCACCAAAACTAAACCAGCGTGGTACCAGCCAATGGTGTAATGGTTACATTACTGTACTCCCACATAACTGACTGCAATTCAAGTCTCAGACCCAGCAGCTTGAATCTCACGCCAGGCATGTGTGTGCCTAAAATCCTGAGAGGAGAATGGAGGAGAAAGGATTGAGGCATGGTCATCCCCTTGGGGGGTGATTTCTTGATTTCTGTCTCTCTGGCAAGTGCATGTGCTCTATAGCAAAAATTTCTAAAATATAAAATTAAAATTAAAGAAAAGAAAGACAAAAATTTAAAATTAAACCAGCTCTTCAGAAAATACTTTAGGGACTACTACACCAGGAAAACTAGAGGAAGATAAATAGAAGTAAGAGAACACAAAGCAACTAGAACAAAAAAGAGTAGGTCCACACATATCAATAACAACATTGAATGCTGGGATTAAATTTCCCAATGAAAAGCCTAAAAATGCAAATTCAAATACTTTACGCACAACAGGTTTAAATGCAAATTCACCAATTATTTGATAGACAGTTGTCTTCACAGGTTTCAATTTATGTATTTTTATTGCAATCATTACTCATTGTATAAAATGAGGTAATAGAGGAAAATCCAAAATGTAAGAGTAGCTGAATCTTAGGGCCCAGCAGGTGGTGGTGTGATGGTTAAGGCACTGGACACTCCCACATGGCCGACCATGGTTTGATTCCCGGACCTGATGGCTTGCTTTCTCACTTTCTCTCTCTCACTGTGTGTGTGGGGGGAGGGGGGAGAAGGGGTACGTGCGTGGGTGTAGCTCTCTGGTCAAAATTTTAAAAAAACAATAAATGAATGAATAAACAAAATTAAAAATAAATACTTCTTTAAAAAATAAAAAGTAGCTGAGTCTTTCTTTGGAATGAATTTTAAAGAAGGCTAAAATCTAGAAATTTGTAAACCCTGTAAATCACCAGATCACTGACTTTACCATCTCTTCACTTTTAAATATCTCCTTCCATTTTGTTTCATTTTACTTTTTTGAGAACTTATTTCTTTATGTACAGTACAGTACTATGGTCTTACAAGAACCCACAATGAGCGAGTAAAAGTTTCCTTTTTTTTTCTTTTCTTTTTTTTTTTGAGAAATAAAGATTTTTACTATAGGGTGCACATAATCAATCGCTAGAGAAAGAGAGAAACAGAAAGCGAGAAATAATTCCCCAGAGAGGACAGTCACACTGCAATCCCTTCTCTTCCATTGTTGTCTCGGGATTTTGGGCATGCACACACATGCGCCCGGCCTGTTTCAAGCTGCCAGGTCTGAAACTCAAGCCATGGTCAACCACGGGAGAATCCAGCACTTTAACCACTTTGCACCTGCTAGCCTTAAATTTTCTTTTTCTGTCTCTTCCTAATGAGCTATTCTTATGTACAATTCTAACTATCTCTAACTAGACCAATGATATCACAAATCTTTTCAGAATATAAACTCTCTTTTTTTTAATGAATTATTTATGTATTTATTTATTTTAAATTTGCTATAGGGTATGTGTACTCACCAGAGAGAGGGGTTAAAGTGAGAAAGCAAGCCACCGGGTCTGGAACTCAAACCATAGTTGGCTACCTGGGAGTCCAGTCCAGTTTATATTCTGGGGACCAACAGGTGACAACCATAGTTGGCCCCCAGAATATAAACTCATCTCCCACAATCCTCTACATGGAAATTATAAATTCTTCTTTCATTGGCTATGTTAATATCTCATTAATTTATGAAACTTTGTTACCCGATTTTTAATCAATTTGTTTTTTTTTTTTCTTTTTTCTTTTTTTTCTTTTTTTTTGAGAGGTTTTTGCTATAGGGCGCATGCGCTCACCAGACAGACAGAGAGAGACAGAGAGGCAGAAAGCAGGAAATCACCCCCCGGGGGGGTGGCCACGCCGCAATCCCTTCTCCTCCATTCTCTTCTCAGGATCTTGGGCACGCACACACACGCGCCCGGCGTGAGTTTAAGCCACCGGGTCTGGGACTCGAACCGCGGTCTACTACGTGGGAGTCCAGCGACACAGCCATTACACTAACTGCTGGTCCCCAATTTGTTTTTTCTTTAGAACTGTATTTCACAGCTAAGAATGTCATAAATAATTTAGTACCTATTTCCAGATTTAGGAAATAAACCACTGAAGTGGGTTTCAAATGTTCCCAACATAATAAAAAGCTAAATGTTGAAGGTAGTAAATGTTTATATCCTGAATTTGTTTATTATACACCATATACATGCTCTTACAGACTACTGTACTCTATAAAGACATGAATATATATAAATCGTAAACTACAATAAAACAATTTTTTAATCTTCTCGAATCTGAGTAAGAATATTGATGGATCTTTTTATTTTTCCCATGGAAATAATAACGATATAATGCTCTCAAAAGGATTTGGTTAAAATTCCACAGTAAAAAGGTTAGAAAACTAGAAATAGGCATGTTGGCTCACATGTCCCTAGGGAGCTGTGTGTGATGTAGCTGAAATGAGCTGCTTACACACCTACTCCTGCAGAGGGGACCAAAACCCAGTCCTCAACAAAAACATAAGACTTCCAATTTTCTTAGGCAAAAGGAGAATGATTCACTTTAGAAATCTCAGTCCGATCCAATGACGGAAATCATACATTATTCTTTCCCAAATAAAAACTCTACCTGTTTTGCTATTTTCCAATATAGTTTCCGTCTACAAGAGAGTTCTTACATTCTCTCCTAGGAATTACTTAACTGACACCAAAAAGGTAAAACTCTAAAACATTGGCCAGCAAATAATTAGATGCAGAGAAGGGGAGTAGAAAGAAATGGGCAACTGAAATGTCTTGCTCTGTGATGAGGCAGTTCATCAAATATGAGATGGTTCTTTCCTTAACCAAAAAACCCCTAAGAATTTGGCCCCACTCTACTCCTTCCCTCTCCTTCCCCCTGCAAAAACACTGGGGAACCAGCAGTTAGCGTAATGGCTATGTCGCTGGACTCCCACATAGCCGACTGTGGTTCACGTCCCGGACCCGGTGGCTTAAAACTCACGCCAGGCGCATGTGCATGTGTGCCCAAGATCCCAAGAGGAGAAGGGATTGCGGTGTGACCACCCCCCTGGGGGGTGATTTCTCGCTTTCTGTCTCTATGTCTCTGCCCGCACAAAAGAGAAAACCCCCAAAAAAAAAAAAAAAAAAAAAAAAAAAAAAAAAAACACCAACTGGTGGATTTCACTTGTTACCAATTCTTGTTCTTTTCCATACCAGAAATTCCAGAGCTTCAGTCTAAGTTTGCTCACACTTACCCTCCAAATTGACCTAGGACAATGCTAGAGCTTCCTATCCCCTATGTCACTTCATCTTCCCTATTCTTATTTCCCTCATCTGAAGTTCACCACGTGTTCACCACCATCTTTTAAAATGTTCTGAAAACAGGGTGCGGATTAGCAATATCTAAAGAATGGTCTTCCTCTTCATGCAGTTCACTAAATGGGAAACGTCCCATGTACTCCCCTAAACAAATGATCAGACTGAAGAAACAGCAAGTTGTTTACCACATTCCATGTTAAATGCACTCTGCAAAGTTATAAAACCTCAATTTACTTGATTATTTCCTTGTGCACTCCCTGCTGCTCGAGACTTTAAAGTCTGGATTTTCTCAAAGACCAAGTTGACTTTTCTTTTAGTGGCATCATCATTATCGGAGCTTCTGGAAGAAAGAGAGAAGAGAAGACAGTGAAGGATTGAACCGTTTGTTTCAGAATGTGTTATATGCCATGACGCTTATACAACCAGCCCTTTAAGAAGATAAATTTCGGGATCAGCAGACAGCACGATCGTTATACCACTGAAGTCCCACATAGTTGACCACTGTTCAAGTCCCAGGCCCAGTGGCTTAAAATTCATGCCAGGCACGTGGACATGTGTGCCCAGAATCCCACGAGGACAATGAAGAATGGATTGCAGCGTGGCCATCCACCCGGGGGGTGAGTTCTCACTTTCTGTCTCTCTGTCTCTCCAGTGAGCACACACGCCCTATTGCAAGAAATCTCTCTCTTAAAAAAAAAAGAAAGAAAATTTGCTCAAAGCACGAATGAAGGCCATAAAACCAGAGTGAGAAGAACAGGATGGATGGTGCATTTTTCTTCAAGTAAATTGTGACAACTCAATTTAAGATGGACGTTCCCATTTCAAATGCATGGGAGAGACATAAACACAATCAGATTAAGTTTAGAGAAAACTTACAGTGAAAATTTAGTAACTTGTTTTGTTTTGTTTATCTTTCTCACTCTTTCTGGTTAATGCTACAAGGCACATGGACACTCATGAGAGTGGAGTGGCTGGTCATGCCATAATCCTTTTTCCTCCAATTCTCCATCCTATCAGGATTCTGGGTACACATCTGGGTTTGAATGGCTGGGTCAAGATTCAAATCCTGGTCAGCTACATGGGATCCAGCTTCCTGTGCACGGGGCCTGACTGCTGCATAATGGGGCTATCCTTAGTGATTTGCTATTTGAGTAAAATAACTAATATTTATACTAAAAGACCTTTTCTTTGTGTGTGTGTGTGTCACACACATGCTTTACTTTTAAATCTCATATTAAGAATATCTCCATTGCTCTTAAACTTTTTAGCCTGTTTTTTAAAAAACAAAAGCCCCAAGCAAAGACTGTCAACATAGCAGCCCTTTGTCTAGATTTTCACAGGTAGTGAGCAGAAAGTTTTCTTAACTTCCACCATACATCCTACATTCTATCAATTAGAATTTTAAAAATTTGAACAAATTTCCTTAAATAACCGCTAAAGTCCATCTCACCAGTCTCTTAATAAATCATGTACCGAGAGAGAGAGAGAGAGAGAGAGAGAGAGAGAACCTTCATCTACCTTAGAGAGAAGAATGTAAAGAATCTTAAAAATTAGAAGTTCTTCCATCTTAATCTTAACTTTTCACAAGGAGATTTTCATAAATAGTTCTTAACTAAAAGAATCTCTCAGGTTACTTTTTCTCCAAGGAGAGCTCCTATCTTGTATTTTAAACCTTACTACTTTGTCAGTTCTGTAATATTGACAAATAATTGTAATGTACGATACAAAATACCCATGAGTAGTTGACAAGTGGCTGGTTTTCAGTCATTCAGGCTGTAAAGCTTTTTTTCATTCTCCTCCTTAATCATATCTGATGAGAGAACTGAAACAGAAACTTCAAATTCCTTGCCTAGAATTCCTGAGCAGTTAGTTATCTAAATACTGAAAAACAGATCACTCAAATTCAACCTCCAAGATAAGTACGGAAAGCACTGCTTCGAAACGACTTGAATATGTTTCAAAAATAATGAAAGCTAGGGTTCCTGGCCAATGTTAACCCTGGGAGGAAAGGAGGCATTTCCACTTGTATCATCTAATACAGGACTGCTGTGGTTCGATGGTCGCCACTGTAACCTAAGCTGAAAATAGATCCTCAAGGCAGCAGTGCTGGGAGGTGGGGCCTCGTGGGAGGTGGCTGACACATGGGGCAGATCCCTCAAGACTAGATTAATGCCTCCTCCCCACAGGGAGAAGGGAGTGCGCTCTCACTGATTAGTTCCCATGAGAGCAGACTGCTGGAAAGCCAGCCAGCCACTGGGGCATGTTCCCCTCTTTGCACACACTCATGGCTCTTCTACTCCTCGGCCATGTTGTGGTGTAGCACCACAAACCAGCCAAATGCCAGCCCCATGTTCTTGGACTTCCCAGGCACCAGAATTGTGAGCCAAATAAAACTCTCCTTCATAAATCACCCAGTCTCACATATTTTTGTTGTAGCAACACCAACAGACAAATCAGGGATGACTGAGAATGGCTATTTGAGTTAGAGAACTCAAAGCGATGGCGAACTCCACTCAAAATTGAATAGGAGGCATTCTTCCTATTTTTTAATTCATTTTTGAAAGAGTAAAGGATCATTTAAAAGACCTTCATTTTTTAAAGTACAATATCCTTTCCTATACTCCCCTTCTAAGTCCCTACCCTCAAAGACTCAGACACTGTTATGAAAACTCCAGCCATTGTGACTTAACTCTCAACCTGCTCACACAAAACAGGAAAATAGGGCAAAAAACAGACTTTTTTTTTTTAAGAGAGAGATATTCTTGCTATAGGGAGAGTGTACCCACCAGAAAAACAGAGAGACAGAAAGCAAGAAATCATCCCCCAGGGGGATGGCCATACCACAATCCCTTCTCCACTCCCCTCTTGCGATCTTGGGCACACATGCACATACACGAGCACCTGGCATAAGGTTTAAGGGTCTAGGACTCAAACCATGGTCGACTACATGGGAGCCTACTGACATAGTCATTACACAGACAAGACATGGTGGTCCAGGCAGTAAAGGTGCTTCTACACGATGCTGGAAGCCATATGAGAAGGTTTCTGGTCTGTATTCCAAGTCCACCTCAACAAGTGGGACGTACTCACAGGTATAAAACTTAAGGGGGGATTTGGCATGAAAATTTTGCTGGGGTCCCTGTCTGTGTGTGTGTGTGTGTGTGTGTGTTTGTGTGTGTTGTGCTCTCTTTTTCAGGAAATAAACCAAAAAGGGGAGGGCAGGGCAACAGATGACATAGTGGTTAGGGCGCTAGGCTCCCATCTGGTCAACCACAGTTTGAGTCCTGGACGTGGCAGCTTGAAACTTACGCCAGGCTTATGTGTTTGTGTGCCCAAAAATCCTAAGAGGAGAATAGAGGAGAAGGGACTATGGCATGGTCATCCTCTGGGGATGATTTCTCGCTTTCTGTCTCTCTGACTCTCCAGCAAGTATACGCGCCCTATAGCAAAAATCTCTCAAGGAAAAGAAAAGGAGAAAATTAAGCACTCCACCAGAAATGACAATATGTTGCTCTTCAAAGAGAAAATTACTTACCCTTCTTTGAGGTAATTGTAAAGTATCTGCTTGGCAGTCTCTTCGTTGGTCTGCTGAGTGAGTTCTTGCTGGCCCTTTAAGAGATCTGGTGTGGCCTGGAACGTAATGTCTGTTGTTAGATCACAAGGATTACTTTACCGGAAGAAGGCAAACCCTGAGTGCTCCCAAGAACATTCCCGCTGCCCAAAAATGATTCCTCAGGTAAGCATCCTCACTACAGAAGGTGTCAACACTTAGCTCTGTAACCTTAGGCAAGTGACGTGGCTTCTCACCTCAATTTACTCAGCAGTAAAAAGAGGTTTATATCACCTACCTTCTTGGTGCTGGTGCAGTTCTATAATACTGAACAAATAGTGCCTGGCATTTACCAACCTTATTATCATTTTAATTATTATCATTATTTTTTATTGACACTACCAAAACACTAAATGTACCACTTAGATTCCACCACTTTACAATCGATCTAAACTAGGGTTAACCTAATTTCTCAGGCTACATATTAACCCAGTTACTCAAATGCATGAGAAAAATTAAGATACCTACATATAAGCCTAACCACTGAATCTTTGCATAGAACAAATTCTGCATCTTTCCAGATTTTTGCACACATACAAACAGAAAAGGCAAGCCTCTCTTCAGTGTCTGACAAGTTACTTTACAGAAAAAGCACCATGGGAATCTAGTTGTGCTTGAAATAACCTAGAAAATTATCCAGTTCGTTTAACCTGATCCTTAAAAACTCAAATGTACAGGGTCAGTAGGTGGCATGGTGGTTTAATGTACATAGGACTCCCACTTGGTTGACTGTAGTTCAAGTCCCAGACCTGGAAACTTGCTTTCTCTCTCTCATGAGAATGCATGCCATTTAGCAAATTAAATAGTAAGATCATTACCTGAGTATGTGAGGTGGAAGGAAACGTCTTCATAGAAATTTTCTTGGCACCAGAATCAGATGAAGTTGCTACTGCCCGATTCTGTAACATCAACGTAGCAGTGGCTGTTTTTATTTCCTCTTCCTTTTTACTCTGTGCTGGGAGTGAGGATGCACGAATCACTGTACTTTCCTGACCACCTTTGTTTTCTGGAACTTTCCCATCTTTGTTCTGCTGGGGAGGTCTGGGGTGAGCAGAGTGAGCACCAGATGCTGCTCCCTGCAGCCTGGCCAGGGCGCGGCCCGTGCTTTGTTTCCCACGGAGTTCCTGAGACAGGGGCCTCTGCGGGCACACCTGGGATGGTCGGAGGAGGTGTTCGCTTGACTTGCCCAAGTTCCTACTAAACTCCATTAAGTATTCCGGGTTCCCCTGCAGACCAAAAGGAAAGGCACTATCCACACTTCTGGATCTTTTCCTGTCATCTGGATTGATTCTGTTTCGCTTCCCAGACCTTCCTCTTCTCTGAAGCCCAGGTTTTTGGTCAAATTTCTCAATTAACTGGTCCACACCAGGAATTGATCCTGTATCAATGTCCCGCCCAGTCCCAGGCAAGAAGGGGATATACCTTCTATTTTCATGACGATTCACATTATCAGCATGGATGGCACATTCCTGATCATCAAGTAGAAATCGGTACAAGGAGGTGGCTGACGTGGGAGTTGTTGATGACGAGGAAGACCTCCGTGACCGAGTTCCATCCAGGACAGGTCCCGCTGAATCTTGTCGCCGGAAGGGAAGGACATCTGGCCTGGTTTTCTTGGTTTCGGGGTGGGAATGTGAGCTGTGGGCAGTCAGGGACCTCCCGCTAGGGGAAAGGGTCTCATCTACCATCCCCTCCTTAGTGCAGCTCTGAACATTCACACATACCGAGGTCTGCTTTTTGGGGTCATCTATGACCACGGAGCTACACAAACGAATGGCAGTCACACTGGATTTGGGCAAGTCTTCCAAGGGAGGGCTGGTAGGCTGGGAATGGCTTGGTTTAGGAAAGCAAGTCCAAGGCTTCTTACTGTTTGTACCTTCTTCTGTTAAAGTTTGTAGCCAATTACTCTCAGAAGGTTGGTGATTTTGCAAGTTCGGCTCATTCTTTTCGGGGTCATAGGGCTGCAAAAGCTCTGGATGCTTCTGGAAGTTCAGCATGTGGGTTGGCTTCATCAGCCCATCTTTGTAATCTAGAACGCCATTCCTGCCCTCATGGAGAGAAGGCTGTTTCAGGTTTCGGATTGGGTTTGGCGGAGCATACGGGTTTTCTGGGAGCTGCAGTTCTTCTGCACTGTTCTCCGTTAGCAGGGACCCGTTGCTGGAATGTAGAGGCAGGTTATTCATCATTGGAGATGAAAACGATGGCCCATTTTCAGAAAAAGATGGACCTGCTAAACACCGCTCTGTGTTATTCAGGACTATGTAGGGGTGGCCATCAATTCCCTGCACCCTAATGCTGACACCATAGGAGCCTGCCTTCGAGTGCTGAGAATTTCTTGACTTTTTGGTTTCATCACTTGCAAGACGCAGATGAACGCCATATTCC